ATTTTTATCCCCTTCATTGCAGATTATAGCTTTTTATTGTTCTCCCTTTTCCATTCCTTAAGCTTAAATTGGCTCCAAATAAAGTTTTGATGATTTAACTAACATTTGCAAAACAAATTCAAAGGAAATTCCAAGAACCATTCCCAAACGTCAGGAGACAATATTCACCACTACTTCTAAATGAGTCAAAATACATATTTTGAGGAAATGGAAAGATTTAGGTTTACAGTTGTATAGCTCAGAATCTATATAAGTCACTTAATCAGAATGGTAGAACCACAATGCAATCAGTAATCATATCAAGAATGAGACAATAGCATGTATGTGTAAGATAATCCCAAAAGAAACGATAAACTTAATTCCAAAGCAAAATGGGCAAAATACATATTCTGGTAAAACTACCCAGTTCTCAAAGGAGCAGTTAGTATAGGTTCATTCGGACTGCCCTGGATCACTTATAACTATGAACTTTTCTACACATGGGATGCACTGCAGGTCTAATATCAAATACACTGAAAACACATCTTATGAATGAATGTAAAGATCCCACCTTTAGGGGAGGGAGATGTTTGGTTCAGGAAAAGACCCAGGGATACTTACTGTAGAGATGATGGTAGTGGAGTTTGTGGCAGGTGACTCTTCAAGAAACTCGGTTTCTATCGATACTGTATTTACTTAGGGCTTTTCCAGCTTTTGGCACACACCAAAGGTATTCACAAACATTCTCTCTGAAAATCCTTCATATTCCCTTGACATGCCCAGGCCTACAAAGCATCCTTCTGAGAGACAGACAGAGAGAGAGAGAGAGAGAGAGAGAGAGAGAGACCTTGTATGCAGTTAGGATGAACCACTCCCTCTTCCAGGGTCCTTTACAGTAAAGCACAGGAGGCAACAGCATGGGCTCTCTATTCTAAAAGGCAGGCAGGAGGAAGGCAGGCCACCAGGACAGAGCTGGGATCAGCTGTCCCTGAGCAGACAAGCCTGACACTGTCGGGGTTATTCCACTCCACCCTCTCTCAATCCGAGGACTGCAGGGTCCCACGCTTGTGTTACGCACATGGTCCAAGACTCCTCTGCCTCCCACGAACGTGACACATCCCAGGAGGGCTCGGCTGCGCGGCCAGAGCCAGGAGACGCCGTCGCCCGCGGCTGCCATCTATCGGCCAAGAAGCGCTCGGGTAGCCTCGGGCCCATCATGTCTGCTGCAGCTTGGCTCGCCCGGGTGGCGCGACCATAAACAAGTGCACGGGACGGGGCCCGGCGTCTCTCACCGATCCGAGGCTGCAGAGCCCCCGGCGGCGGTTCGGTCCTCCCTTCAATGCCCGGGAGGCAAGAAGCGACTTTCTCTGAGTTTTTAGAGCCACGGAGCCACCGGGACTCGCTCCGGGCTAGAACAACGCTTTTCCAGTCCCCAGAGCCCCAAAGGATGTTGGACATACAGAATTCCAAATAAGGACGCTCGTGCTTTGCACCAGGGACAGCGATCCAGAGAAGCCCCTGGTGATGTTCTGCGAACGCAGAGAGCGGTGACATGGGCCAGAAGATGCGGGAGCCAACCCGATAGTCACTAAGGGCCACGGGAGCAACGGCGGGCGCAGAGCGGGGGCAGCGGCCGCGGGATCGGAGCGCGGTGGTCGCCGCGACGCGGGAGGTGGGAGGCGGGGGGGGCGGAGGAAAGCGCAGGAGCCGCAGCCACCGCCGCCGCCGCCGCGGGAGCAGCCAAGGGGCCCGGTGCCCCCTTCGCTCGCCCCCTCACTACCATGTACAGTGTGCGCTGCAAGAAGAAGGCTGGCGAGGCCCGTCCAGCCCGCGCCCCGCTCGCGCTGGCTCGTCCCCGGGCGTGCGCCGCTGACCGGGGGGGAATGTGGTGAAGACTGCGCGCAGG